AAACTTTGTACCCGATGATATGTGTAGGGGTGCACACTATTCAGTTTGGACTGATTTAAGAATTTTTTGGAACCAAACCAATCCTAATGGTTTGATAAAATTTTGAGCCAAACCAAACCATTTGACCGAAAAAGCCAAACCAAACCAAATCGTGAAAAACTAATTTGGTTAATTCGATTCGGTTCCACAATTCTTTCTTCTTTTTTTTTATTATTTTTTTATTATTTATTTACAGAAGTATTCATATTTCAAAATTTACATGCATAATAATAAACCAAGTTACTAAAACATTCAAGAAATACTAATATATTCAGAACTTTTAATTCATTTTTCTCCATCACTTCTGGAACTGAAGTGAATAATTCAGAATTGTTAATAACTTAATATATTTAGAATTACTAATTCAACAACAAACAATCAGTTACAATTCAAAATTCAGTCACTATTAAAAAAAAAAATCATCTAATAAATTGATAAAATCTAAGAGAATTAAGAGTGGACTATAGGTTTGATAGTTGTTACAAACTTCTAAGTGATTTAGATTGTAGGATTATATTATATTATATATACTGTATAATTTAACATATATATATATAACATAACAGTTTGGTTCGGTCTAGTTCGATTATAAAGGAACTCAAACCGTGACCAAACTATAATTTTACAGTTTCACAAGTATAGAATCGTGACCGAATCAAACCATTAGCAAACCAAACCAAACTGTCCGGTCCGGTTTGATTCAGTTTGAATTTTCAGTTTGACCAAATTTTTGTGCACTCCTAGATATGGCAACTTAATTTTGCATATATTTTTTTTGGAACCCGGAACTCCCTTGGGCAAGGCCCTTTGGACCCACCCCAAGCTACAAACCGAGGATGCTATAACCGGTCCCACAACGACAAGCACCAATTAAATCAAGGGTTATAAATTTATAATGAGGTGTTGGGATTTGAAACCGAGACATATTAAAACCCAACCCTTACCTTACCACCATCACCAAACCTGTGATGTTTCCATTTTTCGTCATTTGACATTTTTAGAATTTTACGTTTCGGTAAAGGTATTTTCGTCTTTTCGTATTTTCGCGTACCGGACACCGTGGAGTGTGTCCGGTGGGTTTGAGAGTTGTTAGGAGCATTCCATTGAGTTCAGGACTCTTGAAAATGTAAGGGTTGTCATTTTTGTATTTTATCGTTTTACAGGCTGAACGGTCCCGTGTGCGACCCGCTAACTAAATTGTTGCATACTGGAATTTTAGTTGGATCAATTTGCATCACATGCATTTATTTAATGTGTTATATAAGGTTGTGAATTATTAAATGTGTATATATTTGTGTTGTGTAAAAAGAAAATAAAAATAAATCAAAAAGGATATTAAATTTTGGTAGTGGGACCCACCACCACTTTAAGAGGGCAAAAGGGCATTTTGGCATCTCATTTTGCTCTCTCCCTCCCGGCACTTTATCTTTCTCACTCTCCTCCCTTCATTTTTTTTTATTATTATTTTTATTTATTTATTTTTTACTTCAAGCTTTAAAGGTTCATTATTTCTTCGATTCTTGGAGTTTTTGGATACCATTTGTGGCAAATTAAAGAGGTTGAAGAGATCTAAGATTTGATTGAAGCCAATCTCCGTTTGGCCACCTTTGGGGATTTCAAATTTTTAGGGTTTGGAGTGTAAAATTAAGGCTTTTCATCAAATTGAGGTAGAGGTTCCTAATCCATGACTTCTTAAGCCTTAATGAGTTTATTTCTCCATGATTTTTGTGATTTAGCATGTTACATTTGTGTTGATTTTCCTCAAAATGAATTAAGTGTTGTATATGAATTATATGCTTACGTAAAATAGATGATTTATGTGAAAAAGTATGCTCATGTGTAAATTTTCATGTCGATTATATACAAATTGTTGAAATTTGATGTATGGAAGCATGTTGATTTTGTGAGTTGTAAAGTTCCATATTGACATAGCATTGGAAAGTATGAGACATCCATGCATATCATTGGGCATGAAATGGGAAAATTTTGATCAAAATGAAAATTAAATGGTTTTTGGGAAAAAGATTTAGCTAAAGGTTTGCGAAAACCCGGACGCATATGAGGTGCCTAGTGGTCCGCTGTGTTAATTTAATCTAGAGGGAAGTTGAGTTATCTAAGCCCAGACGACGCCATAGAGGTGCCATGTGGTCGGGGATTGCTAGCCCACTCTCTCCTCGTGACGCTAGATGCTATGGGTCGGGTTACATTGACGGTTTGGATTGGTAAAATGGAATGGTTTTCTTTGGAAAATTGGGGAGAGACATTTTATGACATTTCGTCCCATTGCACTGCATAATTTAAGTGTGACTTGGACTGTTGACTTTGTGCTATGTCTACCCAGTATGGCACGACCCCGCTTCTATATTTTCTATTCATTGTTGGATTCATAGGGTTTCAAGAGATGTATCTTAGGCACCACCTACTGAGCTTAGGCTCATCCCGTTGTTATTTAACATTTTTCAGGACTTGGGAAGGAAATGGCGGATGACGGTCCACCACAAACTTAGTTCAAAGATTTGCAGATCTTTTTGCTATCTTTTGTGCACTTGTATTCATTCTTAAGTAAAGCCTCATTTTGAGAATGTATTCATTTTGTAAAACATGACCATGTACTGTAAATATAATACTTAATGATAGTTGATGTAAATTCGGAACCATGTTGGCATATTATAATGAATGGGAAGTGATAACATATGTTGTACATGATATTAATGTCTTTAGCTGTATAACATTATGCATGGTTGCTGTGAATTCGGGATCGAATGAATATTAAGTCTGGCTCACAAAAAGATAAGATTTCTGGACTATCATGGCTCATCAGCTGGTTGACAAGGCATGTCAGTCGGCTAGCAACCCATTTTGTGGCATTCCAGTGAGCTGAGATTTGAGAAAACTCGTTTCAGCCGGTAGAACCTTTTCATCAGCCAACCGACCTTCCTTCATCAGCCGGCCGAACCCCAATTTCAGTTGGCTGATGAGCCACTGTAGCAAAATTCCGAGAGTTAGCAACTATGTGAATCGTTTCGGCCAACTGACCATCTCAGTCAGTCGCCCGACCTTGTAGTTTCAGCCGGTCGATTAAGGGCCATCAGCCGGCTGACACTTCCCCTTTAACTAGTACTTTGATCCTATCCTTCCATGCTGTAATCCTGGAGTACTTTGGACCTAGTAATGAACTGGGTATGGCCAAGAATGCAGCAAATGACGATTATAACCCTAGATGACCTCAGGTTTGGGTGAGAACCCGGTTAACGGTCCGAACCCTTAGGTTCGGGTCGTTACAAAACTCCCGGGAACGTTAATTTTGTATATTCAGAAAGAGATTTTGTTAAGAGAATACAAGGTAGGATGAGAGAAAAAGTAAGAAAAAATTATTTGTGGTAAACTTTGAACCCTAAAATAATTCTATAGAGACGTTTTAAGAGTTAACTCTTTCTCTTTAATAAGAATCCTAATTTTCTCAACTAATGTGTAAATAATCACATAAATACATCATTGACTTTGATCTACATGTGTAAATAAATTGATAAATAAATAATCAACTTCACGTTTACCATAATTATAAAGCCAATAGTGTAGAAGAGAATATATATATATATATATATATATATATATATATATATATATATATATATAATAAAAGTAGAGAAAAAAAAAATTAGAGGGGAAACTCAATTTAATGTTCTATCTTTCACTTCAATGGAGACGCAACAAGTTTTTTTTTTTCTTTTCAAGAACAGAGCTTTGCATTACAAAGAAACAGAGGGCAAGTCCTCCAACATCAAGCATGTTTACTCAGTCTACGAGCAACCATATTACAGGATCGAGGAGCCCAACGAAAAACCAACATCAAGTTTGCCTCCAACATCATTTGAATATAACACTGTTTAACCAGCTGATTATACTGTAGAAGAGAATATATATATATATATATATATATATATATATATATATATATAGAGAGAGAGAGAGAGAGAAAAGAAAATTAGGAAGAGAAACTCAATTTAATGTTCTATCTTCACTTCTCCTTCATTGGGAGACGCAAAAAGTTTAACCAGATTTGGTTCATTTAATTAATTTGTGTTCAATGAACTCAAATTGAACTGGCTTAATTACAATTTTTTATTTTTTTTTATTACAAGTAGATAGATAATAGGGAAAATTACATATAAATGGAGTCAAAGTTTCATATTTACTTAGAGACTGAGTCAGAGTTCCATATTTCTCTAAAATGGATTGCTGAGGTGGCACATGGTTTTTTACTGTTTAAAAAATTGTGGTGCCTAAAATACCCTTCCCTAATAAAAAAGTAGTACCTTCAGTTCAAAAAAGTAGTACATTCGGAGAAAAAGTAGTACCTTCGCGAGTGTTTAAAAAACATGGTACTTGGATGCCAAAAAGTAATACCTTCAGTTCAAAAAAGTAGTACCTTCGAAGAAAAAGTAGTACCTTCGCGGAAGGGTATTTTAGGCATCACAATTTCTAAACAGTAAAAAACCATGTGCCACCTTAGCAATCCATTTTAGAGAAATATGGAACTTTGACTCAGCCTCTAAGTAAATATGGAACTTTAACTCCATTTATATGTAATTTTTCCTAAATAATATATCTAAATAAAATACCGTAAGAAAATCCTAATTGTCTCCAAATCCGACCCAATCAGCCAGCCCGACCCAAAAAGCATGCGCATCATTACCATTAGCACTGCATAAAAAAGTTTGAGTGACCAATCTCAAAAACCACAAATGTCCACTAACTCTTTGTTTAAATATTTTTAATGCGTTTGGTTATCATGATGTCCCTCATAAAACACAGGAGATATGTCTTGATCAAGCGGTGCATTCTTGTTGGGTGCTAAAGATCCGGTAAGGTGTGCTCCACCATAGAACAACGGAGATCATAGAAATATCATATATTTTGAACCCACCTTTTGAATCGTTCCTCATGGATCATCCCCTCAACAAAATTGGATAATTGGGCTCGACCATGTAAATATTCGAAAATGACCCTCCAATTAAAGGATCAATCATTCAATCAGTGTCACATTATTTCCCTGAAGTTGAACCTCAATCTGAAAACGTGCATGTCACTAGCTACAATTTAATACAAACCTTAATATATATATCCATTCACAGAGAGACCAACACCCAACACCAATCTCATCGATCACAACAATTTTCTTTTGTGTTTTTCTTGAAAACCAAACAGCATTGAGACCAGAAAAATATTGGAGATGAAGATTCGCCATCCTTACACCGAGAAACTCTGGTACACCGAGAAACCCTGGTTATTTGGCGTCGCACTGGTGTGTCTGATCGGCGGCGTCATGCTCATTTCCACCTTTATCCGAACCACCGACAACTCCTTGCTCTGTAATCTCGGCATCGGCTCCAAAACCACCGACTACTACTCGTCCACGCCGATCCAACTCAACGCAGTCCTCCACTACGCCACGTCACACCGGGTCCCACAACAATCCCTCGCCGAGATCAGAGTCTCCTTCAATGTCCTCAAATCTCTCTCCCCCTGCAACTTCCTCGTCTTCGGCCTCGGCCACGACTCCCTCATGTGGACCGCCTTCAATCCACGTGGCACCACCCTATTCCTCGAGGAGGACCCCAGGTGGGTCCAGAACGTCCTCAAGGAATCGCCGGACCTCAGGGTCCACACCGTCCGGTACCGGACCAAACTCAAAGAGGCCGATGCTCTGATCTCACTGTACCGGACCGAACCGGAGTGTTCGCCGTCAAACGCGTACCTACGTGGCAACAAGAGGTGCAAGTTGGCGTTGCATGATTTGGCTGATGAGGTGTACGACACGGAGTGGGACCTGATCATGATTGATGCCCCGCGAGGGTACTTTAACGAGGCTCCGGGTCGGATGGGTGCGATATTCTCGGCGGCAGTTATGGCTAGGAACAGGAAGGGATCGGGTGTGACGCATGTGTTCCTGCACGATAATGATCGGAGGGTGGAGAAGAGCTACGCATCGGAGTTCTTGTGTAGGAAGTATCTGGTGAAGACTGTTGGTAGGCTCTGGCACTTTGAGATACCGCCAGCTAACGTGAGCGACTCTCGTTCTTCTTTTTGCTAGAATGAGCGGCCGTTGGTGTTTTTTCAAGCTGAGTTTCTGTTACCGCATGATGCATTATTGTTTATTTATTTTTTGTTTTTTTTTTTTTTTAAATATATATATTTGGAACATTTATACATTTTGTTGTATTTTCAAATATTTTTCTTAGGGGATTGTAGAATTTGTCACAGGAAATTTATGTGAGACTAATGATTGAGAGTTCCATTGTTACAAGGATTAGTATGAGACTGTAAGTCGTGGGTAACATTGTAATTTGATGGATTCACACCTTCACAAAAATATATATATTGTAGGTCCATCTTATCTTATCTAGTCACATAAATATTGTGAATTTAAAGAAATATCCATAAATTGTTATGTGAAATGTCATTTAATTTCATAAAGTATGTTAGTAAAAGCATTTTTAAGTGGTCAAAAGTTGTATAAATAAATTTATGATGAATAATACTCCATTGTCTACTTCATTAGTGTATTAAGCAGACTATAATATTCCATTATATAATGGTTGATACAAAGTAAGGTGAAATGGTGGGAGGTAATGGGGACATATGGAATAAGTAATGGACGATTGATCTAATGGTGATTATAGTACAAAAATCCAAGCTTTGCGGGGGTAGAGTAGAGCATAACTTTAAGATAATTTGGAGAATAAAATCGCATTGGTCACTACATAATAAATATGGTAAGAATTATAACAAAACCAAACAAAATTACTTCATATCCAAAATGATATACCAAAAAAAATTAATCACAAACACAATTTTCATGTGTTGTTTTTATCAAAAATGTTTTAACATTGAAATCACCTTCTCTGGGAGATAATTTTTACCCTCTGTCCACTGAACAAGTAGTTTAGTCTGCTTGTGAGGTTCACACTCTTTATGAGATTAATTTTTGGCCTCCTCTAATCCCTCAATAGTTAGTTCAATACACAAGGAAATCGAAGTTATAACAAACTCAAATCCAAATTTTTGGAATAAACAACAGGTGGGCTTGAAGAGTGAATGAGACTCGAAACATAGACAACATCTCCTCTCTGTTTTTGGTCTTATAATGAATGTGTTGAATTTTAGATTTAATAGCAGTTGTAGCGTTATAATAGTGTATAAATGTTATTTTCAATATAAATATGTTCATAAAAGTTAAATCGTTACTGTATGAATGTTGTATATGTGATATACAATGTTAATTTAATAGTGCACAGAAAAAAAAAAAAAAAAAAAAAACAGAGCATATGAGAAAGAGGAGAAGATCCGAATTATTGGAGGTGTGCATCATCAATAATATATGAAACCTGAGATAAAATTGTTTTACCTAAGTTGTTGGTACTGGACCACTGGTTATGGGTAATCCATCAGTAGGTGGTCCTCCCAATTGGACCACAACACCTGTAACTACAGTGCTCCTCCCAGGTTTATTGGGCCGCTGCACCAGTAAATGAAGTTTTGACGTCTTGTCTCTCCCCCCCCCCACCAATACAAACACACACACACACACACACACACACACACATTGACATAATTAAACAACATGACTCCATTAAAATGTTAAGACCATTACTGTGTTTTTTTTTTTCCTTCCTCTGTCCCTTCAATGCTTTCTTTACTGGTTGGTGATCCAGCATTCGACCAAAATAAGTATGTTATATTATGAATTTAAGATGGTGTGATGTAGTGGGGAATGGTTCCGCATAAAAATAAAAAATGTTGGAGTAGGTATAGAGTATCTTTCTATCTACTTATTATGCGAAATTAATATTAAAAAAGGCTAAATGGTGACACCCGTGTGAATCGGGTCGGGTGTCACTCCTTCATTAATCATTATCAACTGAGATTTATTGCCAATCCATCTCTTCCATTTTGATTTGGGTATCTAGCTGCCATGCAAAATGACCCTTCTGTTTTCTAATTAATTTGTAATATGGTTTTCTCTTTTCAATCCATTAAATGCTGATGGTTAAGTGCAAAGCATAAATACTAATATGATGCTGACATCACATTTTATTTCGAATGTGACCTTCTTACCATATGCTCTATGGTAAGGTCCTACTTGTATGTATTCAGGGTGATAGATAAACTCTTTATTGTCCCCTCTTCCTAAAATGTATTTTGTTTGTAAAATAGTTTTCGTAATCTTTATGAATTGAATTTTGTTTCCCTTTTCTACAACACTATATGGCAGAGGACCCTATTGAAAAATATAAAGAAAATAAAGAAAAGAAAAAGAGATAGAACATAGACATAATTAGCAACAAAGATTGGATTCTTGCATACAAAATATTTGTTTGAAGTTTTGTTGCTGTATGGAGGCCAAGTCTCTGTGAAGAAGTGATATATATGCCATACAAAATCTTCTTCTTTTTCTTTTTCTTTCTTTCCCTAAGCCATTTTTAAGTGAAAAAAGTGCCACATAATTGATATCAAAAACATAATCCACACTCTACATGAACACTTGCACAACCTGAAATGCTGTCTATATATATGTGTGTGTTCATATTTATATTTGGTAATGCAGACACAAAAATGAAGAAAATTGAAGGAACTATTATCAAACAGTTCGCGACAAGCCCATCTATATGATGATAAATTGAGTGAAGAGGCAAATAAGATACACATAGTTCGACATAGGCATACATTCTTGTCCCTAGACTGATAGGACTGCACGTTTGCAGTCTGCACCCTCCCAAGAGAAATGTTTTTCCAAAACGAAATGACACAAGTTTTTAGTCTCACTTATTACAAGACCTTCGAAGGCATGAACCAAAGCTCACAAAGCTGTGGTATCAAATGACTTTCTCCTCACTAAGAGGCAAGTGATCTTCGACGGCTGAGTATGCGTATTATCAACTGTACACATCACAAAATCAGGCCGATGCAACGCAAGGGTCAGCCTCTCCTTGCCAACATCCAATCCAGTAGCATCAAGAAGAACGTGCCACGAATTCCTATGAGCCTCCGATATCCAATGCATTGAGTAACGCACGCCATTCAAATAGGCAGGGTATGAAAAAAGTCCCTTTGGGGTGTGCTTACACTTCCTTCTGAAGTACTGGCTCAATTGTGACCCTTTGATCCTCAAGTCCAGCCAACTCTCTGGTGCTGCAACAACTCTTGACTCCTTATGGGCCGCGAATTCCTTTATGCTATCATGTTCTTCGCCAATAACGGTCATGTAATAGTTCCCTCTGAAGAAAGGGTATGATTCACCTACCATCAGCATAGCTTCCTTGGAAGTAGGTACAAAAAGTACCACATATTCATCCTCAGTTAGTCCACAATGCTGCAAAGCTCTGTTCCTGGCTTGAATTTCCGGGATTGAAATGAAATTCCCTTGAAATGAAGATTTCTTTGTGAGGGTGTCTAGTAATCTTGAAGAAGGCTCCAATTGGGTTCTATCAAGATCAGAAGAGAGATTGCTGCTGAAGGAGGGTGAAGACGAGCCAACGCTCTTTGGAGAGTGCTTGCGCTTTTCATCAGACATGGTTTCAGAAGTTTCTTCATTGATGGAAAGACTATAAGGATCAATTCTGTCCCCTTCTTCAACAAGGCCATTGCAGTACTCAGGGTACTTAGCAAAGACATATTGTTCAACATATTGCATTTCAGTTTGCGTAATTGGACCGGACCACCTCAAGTCAAGGCCACGAAGCTTTGATATGGCTTCAGCTATCAAGTGAGCAGGAATCAACATATGTGCCTTCTGTTTTGTTACACAATTTTAATCAAATAAACAGATTTTAATTAGATCATGACTTTATCTATCTATCTATCAAAAAAAAAATCACAAGTATTGAAGAAAACATACTGAAAATCAAATCAAACTTGCCTTAATAACCATGCTGCTTGGCCTGCTAGTATTTTGATTTGGTGATTTTGATATAGAAGCTAAGGGCGAATCTTCGGCTTCTCTTACAATATCCTAATCATATGGAAAGTGGAAATTCTTGTATTAGACAATTTGAAGAGAAAAAACACTTCCAAAAGTTGTAATGGAAAAGATAAATATACCTTGGATTCTTCTTTATGTAGAAAAAGCTGTTCTTCAGCATTTTTTCCCATGATGTTTGAACACTTGTTGAGGCTACAAATGCTGAAGTATGGGAGTGTGAACTAAATATATGAAATGAAAGAGAGAAGTGAAAGAATGAGTAGGGGAAGAAACAAAGGTAGAGGTCAAGAGCAGACGTAAAGATTTACACAACAAATTAACATTTGATTATGCAGAAATGTGGGATGATTGTGGTGTTAAAATATATTAAAGAGCTCGCGTGGAAAGCCGACAATTGGCGACAATGATGTCTTTACAAATGGCCTACGGAAGTTGGAACAGTGGTTTTATATAATTACTGCAATCACTATGATTTGATTACATATCAACTTACTTTGGAGTGTGAATATGCAAGTCAACTTGGCAAGGCATGTTAACTTACGTTGGAACATGGAAAAGTGGTTTTTACTTTCTATTTTTTTTTTTTCTGGAAAAAAATATTAAAAAAGAACTGTGATAGAACATGGGAGGACGACTCTAAATGAGATGATGTTAGTGAAATCAGACAACTCTGAACGAGAGTCGGACTATAGGACGATCAGGATGGATCCAGAAAAATTTCATAGCTAAAATTATTTATATATAATAATAAGTAAAAAAAAATTTAGTAGGGGAAATTATATATTGGATCCCTAAAGACGATAAATGATTTCCATATAAACCTGGTATATGAGTATTTACATAAATTTACAATTTTTAATTTGGAGTTTTGAAACGAGAGAGGGAAAATTCCAAGCCAAAATACTGATGATATGGGCAATCATAGTGTTTAGATTATCTTTAATTAGTTATGCAAATCAAATTATCACAACCCTAATCCTGATTGAATCAATAATTGAAGCCAACAAGCAACCCATCTGATAATTAGTCCAGCGTATGTGGTCATTGATCAAGACTAGGCGCCTAATTTTATCTGCTGATAATGGCAACAAAATACAATTACAAAAGAGACTAACATGTTAAAAAAAAAAAAAAATAGTTTTAAATTACAGATGCCAAGTGACCAACAAGAAATTATTTAAAATGTTGAAGAGATGGTGACCGTTTGAGAAATTAAGGACGTTGGGAGGCTTGGAAGCCAATAGGATTGGTGGGTCATAGTTGAATGATATCAGCTTCACAAGAGAATAGTAGAGAGTGGGAATCCCATGGCATTGAGGAGGACTGGTCCTGGTGGGTCCATCAGCCTATGACGCATTTCAGAATAAGAGGTAAATTGACATTTCAAAATATAATGCGCCCTTTCGTCACATCTTGAACCTTATTATAATATTAGACTGACATTAAATCATGTTATTAAAATAAAAAAATTTAAAATATGTTATTATAGTAGGTATATTGTTTCAGACTGGACCAAAAGCCAATTGGCTTATGTTAGGCAGGTAGTAGATCTCTGAAGTTAATTGAATTTGGTTGATTTTTTTAATTATTATTTATTTATTTATTTTTTAGCAAATTTCACTTACTTTCTTTAAGATTTGTCAATATCTCACACAGACCCCTTCTATAACCTCACATAAACCCCTCTATGTTTTATAATTTTACTTACTACCTCTAAAATTTTGGTTTATGTAACAGATTCTTCTCTATCTAGTCATTTTGTCCGATATGAGAGGTAAGTGAGATTATGATCGTAAAGGAGTCTATGTAAAATTTACCCTTATTTTTTTTTTTTTTTATAAGTAATTGAATGAACTTCGATCGAAAGAAGCAATGTACATATTAGTTTTACATTATCTTTGTTAGTCGTCATCCAATTCTTATACAAAAGAAGGCCACAATGCTTATGTTTAACTAGAGTAGGAGTTCAATCTCAAAGTTCTGGGTTACTTAATCCCACAGCCTAATACTAACTCAATCAAAGAAGAAAGGTATGTCTACTGCGCGCGCGCAAACACACACCAATTGGTTTAAAAAATAAAAAAATTCAAACTTTGGTGGCTCTAGAGAAAGTGTTTATGCGCCATCAACATCCACTTTCTGGTTATTGGTCAGTTGAAAATTACAGGCCAATTATTTAGAGGGTTGGTCATTGCAACAAGAGGACAAACACAGTGGAAGATCTTAGGATTAATTATGGATCCTCCGGTGCGATTTGACCTCATTTTGAGCTACTCGACAAGTAATATGATCAGCTTTGACCATTGTTGCCACGTGTCGTTGCTGTTGAAGAGTAGAGAGTCAAACTGCTCCACAAGACCAGTCATCTTTGTTAGGTTGAAGTTCGAAGGTGCCAACCATGAAGAACAAAACTTGCATACCTTTAAACCTTTGGAGTTTTGTTCCAATGGCATCTCATAATGCTTTCTATCACTGTACACACTTACTCCATGACTTCTTTTCCATGTCTAGGATTTTACCAATTTAGTCAAATCTACAACTTGAGATAATATTTTGTAGTAGTAGCAAATCCACAAACAATTAAAAAAAAAAAAAAAACTACTCAGTTAGAATCAGATAATCATTTCCACATAATATCCTATATCCAAAGAAAAACTTCTGATTGACATATATCAAAATCAGACAACATTGTATACATCTAGAGCAAATGAAGTCTCTTAATTTTTAACCATCAACACTGTCTACAATGATATCATTCATTGATCAAAGGAGCATGTAGATAATTAGCATAAATAGAGAAGAAAATTCAGGGAGGTCAAAAGGGCATAGATAACTAGCATTCTATACAGAAAACAAAACAAAAATTGATTAAAGGAAGTATTTCATCCGGTCATCTCTTCTCATGGCGTTGTATACAGCTTGAACCTGAAAACACAGGAAGACTACATATTGGTAAAGCCTGGCATATCAAGAACAATTATCCCATAGTTCTTCATTTGGTATCATAATTCCAGATCTTTGAATAGAAAGCATAAATATCATCAGAATTGAATAAAGTTCTTTTTACTATATGCAGCCACAACACATCTGAAAGTTACGTAAACCACTATGTTACCTTTTCCCTACTTGGGAGTGCAATATGGGGGAGGGGGTACATCATAAAGTTAGGGCATTGAAATGGATAAGCAAATGGCAAATAAAATTTTATTCTCTTTCTGATAAACTGGAGTGCACGGATAGGCTTGTGTGTGTGTGTGTGTGTGTGTGAGAGAGAGAGAGAGAGAGAGAGAGAGGGAGAGTGAGCAAACCTGCTCACTTGAAATTACTTGAACAGGTCCAATGTTTACAGATACATATTTGCCCCCTGATGAAACTTTTTGCTTCACCCGGCCCTGTAATAAAAGTAAAACACAACCACATAGGATTATATTCAAGTACAACAAATATGTTTTGACTAAAGAAAATACATTTGCATTTATGTTTCAAAAAAAATAAATAAATAAATAAAAAATAGAGACCAAGTGTTTTTTCTATTTCATTTTTTACCCTGAATAATAATCTGATACATAAACACCAGTGAATATGAACTGCAGCCCCTTTTCTATTGTTCATGCTGCAATAAATCATGCCAAACATTTTGACCGTGCAGTGGTTTAAGTGCAAACTGCATAGGAAACAATGATATCTGCTCTCGTAACTAGCTCAAAAAGTCATCCCATCGAGGTGGCAATGCAATTGTCAATTATTAAACATCAACTTTTGGCAGGACAAGGAAAAGTTATTCAAGCCCATAATGAAGCACACTGGCAAAAGATAACTGCCACTTCAAAATCATTACAAACAGTTATATTGACCAAATGCTTTGCCATGAGTAGCTCATTACACGATATAAATTATATAATCTCCATCCGAATATTATGTCTCATTACCAAAAAATGCTTGTAAGAACCATAGGTCAAAATTGGGCCACTGCCTTGAAAAAGTAAGACATATCCTGTCCCAGAATCACACAACCCAATGGATACATTATGGGCTCAACCATATGTCTCCTTCCATCAGCTTAATTAACATTTGAGAATGACTTATCAATAAATAAATAAATAAATAACATTTGAGAATGAAACATAGTGCTATCCTCCCAGGGCATAACTAATACCTAACTCCCCTTCGCATCTTCCTCAGTAACATTATCCGCGACAAATATAAAAGAAAACTGGAAGAATTTACACTAACATAACTAACTGGGTATTAGAGTCATAAAGTGCATCACACTGGGTAATTCTCTTCATGAGACAATAATTTTGCCAATTGCTTCTGCTCTCAAACGTGAAGGAATGACCAATTTATGCATTCATCGTCTAGCACTTAATAACTTCGACGGGCAACACAAAACTGGATATGAAATTCTAGACTATAAGATCTCATTCATCATGCAGAAATCATGCCTAACTTGCCAAAATCCCAAAATTAGTAAAGTTTGGAGGTTAAATTTAAAGAATTATTAGGAAATACAATGTTCATGGACAGTTAAGTTTAGCTCCAACTGCTAGGATGAAATTAGGAATTGCAGCTAATAAACCAGATTCAGGATTATGACACAACTGAGTTCAATTTTTCATGTAAAAATTGAAGCGTGTGGAGATAATTTTGGGAAATTGTTATAAGATTCAACCAAAATCGTATGGAGAACATTCAGTTGCATTTTGGCCATTTAAAATATAGCTGTCACCAAAATATGATAAAAAGGGTTAAAATTTACTGAAAATAGCCACTAAAAAAAAAATGATATATTTGAAATTCCATACACACATGCAAAACAAAGAACTCAATTCTTGACAATCCTTACCCTAAAGCTTCGACTCAAGCATGTAACTCTCAAAAATTTAAAATTCTTACCAAATGAAAGAAATAAACTAAGAATGTTCCTCAAATCAAACTGCAAGTAGAAATGGAAGCTACTACAGCACAAATCAACAATGTGCTCAAAGTGAAAATACGACACATGAAAATACAGTCCTAATTGCCGACGGAGATAAAGCTCAAAGTGAGGATTTAAAGTATGGAAATGGAAGCTACTACGGCACATATCAACAATGTGCTTCATAAGATTCAATCACAATTTGAATAAGGTAAATGAGACCCTAGAGAACATACAAAATAGGCCGGTAAAGGTTTAGATAATCTGGACAGCGTTTGACCTTAGAGGATATGGAAACTTTTAAAATATTTTTAAAAGTGAAAATACATTTTGAAAACCTTAAAACATGCATTGAGTGAGCCATAAATCAATACCCGCTTAAGGTGTTGTGTTCGGTCCAAATTTGACATTTTTATGTCTTTTTGGAGTCATAACTCATTCCATACTTGAAATTTTGTCATGATCTTTATATGGTCAAAAAAGTAAACTCAATAAGCTCTTCACCATTATACTATAAGCTCAATATTGAGTTTATTTGAACACACAAAAAAGCCCAGAAAGTCAAGTCCGATAATTGGTCTTCGAAATTTTCCAAAGGTCTCTAGCACAGGTGGAATTCTGAGCACAAAATGGTTAACCTTGCATCTGCCCAATTTTGTTTTTAAAACTAGAAAAGTAGTTGCATAGGAACTTTGACATGCATTGAGTACAATATGCCAGAATCAATTTTTACGCATTTTTAACGCGTTTCAAGTTCGAATGCATAGGAACTCAACAAAATACATCCAAAACATACTATGCAACTCAACAAAATACATCCAAAATATTCCTAAATGATTTCTGATCATTCAATAAGTATTTCTAAAGTCTATATAATGGAGTTTATGGTTCACATATAAAATACCAAGCACAAATAAGAGTACATAAGTGAAATTCTAGACAAATTCCTAGTCTTCTTCATTTATATTTTAAGCTTTCTTTGTCACATAGTTGAAATTTGATTAGAGGTCATTCATACAACTTTGTGATTGATCTGAGATCATGGAGCTTCATCGATTTCAACAGATCCATTACCAACCAAGCAATTATTTGCACACTCTGGTGGAAGAGAAAAGGCGTTAACCACTAGGAGAAGCAGAATCATCATAAAGTAACAGCATTGGCGTGAATCGGTGTTTCAGGTGATTCCGAAGGCACTGGAATCAGAGGACATCGAGCCTCAGAGGTGAATCAATGTCATGTGATCCGAAGTTAATGGAACCAGTGACTCGTGAAGAGCAGTTCTGAAGGCACTAAAAAACATGTACTCTTTTTCAGAACTAGCGGAATGATTCGCCGGAAACGGAATAGTCACCATAATTTTTCCTCACTAAGATTTTACACATACAAAAAATATAGTCTCTCTTAGTCTTTACTTTATCACTTTTAATGCATGTGTGTGATTGATTGATTAGACTAAATTACCAGCTTAATAACAATCAAAGTTAAAATCAATCATAATTAGATTAATTAACCCCCCACCCCCCCCCCCCCCCCCAAAAAAAAAAAAAAAAAACGAACCCAACAAATAAATAAATAAACACCTAGGTCTGATAAGCTTCCACTAGCATTACTCTCAAGTGCCCCCCAAAAACCAACCCAACAAAAAATAAATAAATAAATAAACACCTAGGTCTCATAAGCTTCCACTAGCATTACTCTCAAGTGGTTTTAGAACTTAGCATCTAGTATCATTGTTTATTTCCATTAACATCTATTATATGAGAGTAGCCACTTTGTGCAAAATAATGAAAAGGTTAGGTTTGTCTCCAATCAGTATTAAAAACTTAACTTTGATTAATTTTCTAAATATATATTAAGAATATCATAAGATTACTATATTATATACACTATTACACTTGTTATATTTTGATCTTTATAAGTAGATTATTATCAAATGTTTGTTCCTTACTCGGAATTACTAAATGTCCAAGTTATTTTTTTCTTTTTGGTGTTTTTTGGTGCTAATTTTCTAATTCTTATTTTGTAACTTTAACCTGTTTGTTTTAGTGTCATTATATAAGATTTATTGGTTATAATGCTTTACTACTAAATCTAAAAGTATTTCGTTTCATATAAATGATTAAAAAACTCGAAGATTTATTCCATGAACTATCAACATTCTTGAGCTATTATTATTAAATTGTATTTTTCCTTTCCTTTCTTTTCTTTTTTTCTTTTCAGAAAATTTTCTCTTGCACAAAATTCTTGAACTATCAACATTCTTCAGCTAGTTATGGGCTGTATTTTTCTTCTTTTTTTCCCCTAATTGTTCAAAGTCACCTATAACATGGAAACCATCATCCAATCTAATGCCTCTCACCCAATCTATCTACATTGCAATGTTAATAGACATTGTCCCATATAATAGTGTAATCAAACCTGACCACACAAACCACATAATGCCCACATAAAATTGTCATCTTCAATTCAATACCTTTGATATATACACGCATCGAAAAATAAACAGCTCCAATGATAAAATGTTTTCCAACAACAAAAGCGATATTTACCTCGGGGATTGGCTTTTGAATGACTGATTCAACAGCAACAACCATAGCTTGCACAAAATCATCACCTCCGGTTCCAATCGCTGTAAACCCTCTGACTGTTGGGTAGGAATTTACCTGTTTAGTCAGAAATACTGTTGTTCAGTTCAACCGCATTATGGACACTACGACTGACGTCTACCACATCTTGACCGTCCACTTTTGTAATCTGAACCATAAATCTGGTATATCAACTACAAAAATATTGGATCATTCATTTCTAGGAAGAGAATTTTTTTTTTCCCTAAATGGAAGACAATGTTTTTCAAATGCTAAATGAAGTACATGAGCAACAAGGCAGTAGAAATGAACAACAATCATTTGATATGATACCTTCTGATCCAGAGCAAGCCATTCATTGGTAGAATCATCTGTTACTGTGCCTCCAATGACAACATTAGTGGTTTGCCCGACCCGTCCTTCTGTCTTTGAAACTTCTGAAAGCATATCAACCATAAGTCTACACTGATAATTGAGTAATTGCTTCCATAAATAATAACTTGCAATTGATTAATATATCAATAATAAAAAAACAGGTCAACATACATACTCCTTTTTCCTTGCTTTATTTGTTTGTAATGTAAATATAAAACTATCATAAATTGTTGAGTATGATGTATTTTATTGAATATATGCATTTTGGTATTTTTCGTAACCCAATTTAGTACTGAATACTTTAATTAATCATCTTGGTTTGTTTAGATTCAAATCTACAATGTACAATTCAAATATGATTTTAAATTCATTTAGTTATGACCCATGAATTTATTATACATACATACTCACACATATATTCATATCTTCTTATTTTGTTTTGTGAGCAGGACAACTTTAAGGATTGACAAATTTATCTTATTTTTTGGAAGCCAGCAGCTAAAAGACCGTTAGTTCTTGCAATTGTTGTCTAAAGAGATCATTTTGTTCTAATTTTGTTTTGTAATGATAGATTATATATTAAATACATATTGTTCTAATTTCTTTTTGTAATGAAATTAAATATTAAATATTTTTTTGTACTGTAATTTAAGTTCAAATATATTTGTCATGTTAAGTTTTTTTATCAGGTTAATAATGCCACCCTGAAATAAATTCCTGGCTCGCCATGCGTCAATGCTTTGTAAAACTATAGATACTTGTGCTAATTTTTACCCCAAAAAAAAAGTATAATAATAATAATAATTCGACCAATGAGTTATTCCAAACTGCGTTTCATATCATGGGGAAAAATTACAGAGAATTAAGTGGTGCCTTCAATCGACCCAGAATTAAAGGGTTTTCAGGCACCACTTTCCTCCAACTTTCGCGGACAAATGGCCATTTTCTCTATTGCAACGTGTTTTCATCCATACATATATATATATACACATACGCATACACAAAAAAATTCATGAATGAGATAAGAAAACTTGAATAGTCAAAAAAAAAAAAAAAAAAAGAAAAGAAAAGAAACATAAACGGACCTGAAATGGCCTTAAGAACAGCTTCTTGAGGTGGGTCTTGGTCATGGTCATCCTGAGAAGATGATGTTGATGATGATGGGGTTTCGTTGTAGGAGCAATTAAGGCGTTGCGTTCGTCGCCCAAAGTGGAAATCTCGAACCCTAATGTTTTTACAGTCACAACCCAAAGTGGGTGTTGAAGATCTGTGGGTATTAAATGAAATTGAAAAGGAGGTTCCATTACGAGGCAAAGGTCGCCACACCTCTGTTAAGAAGACGGTTCGGAATACTGTTCTGCACGCCATTTTTGATGCTGTGATTTTTCTGATCCGTTTTCAGATTATTTATATATATGTATGTATATATATGTATATACACACGCGCACGTATGAGTCATGGACACACAAACGTGAGAAACCAATTGCCTCCCAAAGTATGAGGAAATTTGAGGCCACTTTTTCTCCTTCAAAGTGATTTTTATTTTTATTTTTATTTTTTAAAAAAAATTAGGGTTGGCAAATTACCCCATCTTCATATGGCATAATTGGCTAAATCCTCTTTCACATTTCTAAATATACTAAAATAACCTTCATAAATTATCTTTCCATTTATTTATGTATTATTATTTTTATTTTTGTTACTTAGAGTTAATTGTTAGTGGGGGATTAAGTCAGTAGTGAATTACAATCTAGGATTTAGGTCAAATAAAGCGGGTGCCAAAGTACATGAAAGCGACAAAATCTACACATGAGAAGAAAACGAAAGAAAGAACACGTCTGGATTGGCACTTGTTTTGTAGAATTATATGACTTAGCCTGAGAGTATAGGATGGGGCACTAAAGGGCTGACCTTTATCACTGAAATAATATGGTCACACCTCTTCATAAACTAATATACAGAAAAACATTTTGTCCTAATTTTTTTTTTTTAGCTAATAGTCATTCTATTACTAGGTATTTCATAGGGAAAACAAAAGAAAAACTTGGGTTGAGACAGTTATTTTTTTTCCGCACCTGCTTGGGCTTTTAGTAATAGTCTTGTAGATTCAACCGAAAGGGGCCCAAACTATAATAAATGACATTGGATTTTGATGAGTTGGGCTCTTGGTGACTGAATTAAGAGGTAGATTGTGGTATATGAACTAGGCCTAGTTTCCCCAATAAAAATAATCAACAACTTGACCCAACAGATTTCCCAAATATTCTGCTCCACTAAATATCGAGTTATGAGTTATGATGTTTCTTCGGCCTAGCATTTCAACCAAAATGCTGGGCCAAAGTCATCCAGTCATGGGGCTGGCCCGGCTGCGATGGCTAGGCCCATAATTTCAGCCCATACAAACGTCCCTATATTTTCAGCTGGCAATTACTAAATTGTAATCAGCCAATACAAAAGTCCCTACATTTTCCATATATTTTGGGTTAGCCTTTAAGAAAAAAGTGACGGGATTAACGCCGAAGCGGTTGAAGAGTTTATTATAAGGTGGAGATCTTGAATACCATTCCCCTCCCTTGAAGTTAGCCTAATATGATTTTTTCTGAATTAAAATTGGCACCTAATAATTAAAATTAGCCTAATATGATTTTTTCCTTCATTAGGATCATTTACGTATTGAGAGGGAATTACTCTCACCCAAATGATAGAGACGCCTTAATTAAAAAAAGAAGGAAGTACATGTTTTACACTAGCTAGTGGAGTGGGGTTTGGATGGTCAAAATATTAGTTCAAGTACTACCAACAATGTCTAAACATGTTTGAATCATCTTTACCAATTAATCCTTGTGGAAGGGAGCATACATAATTTGTGTGTTTCTCCTTTTACTCAAACGGTTCCTGTTTCTTTTGCTGCCATTATCATATGCAGTATTAGTTACCTTAATCATCATATCTTATGACAAGTAATTAATTTCCATTTCTACCAATTACAACTTAACACAGCCTCTCATCATTGTAACACAAAACATGCCCTAGCCTCTTCATGAGCATTACAACTCTATCTCTCTCTCTCTATCTACAAATCTGATCATTTTCACACACAGTTAGGTTGCGGGGTCAACAAGCAAAGATCGAGTCGTTGACATAATTGGTAGTGAGTTATGTTGTAAAAGTAGCAAATAATGAAGTATTTGCTTGTTATAATGACTAATCCAACTGGTTACATAATAAGGGCTTCAAAATATTGTATTATTGTGTCTCCATTGCTGTACCAATCCAGGCCCTACACGCACATGATGCTGTTTTTCACAAGTTTGTGTTTATCTAAACCCACTCAATTATATGTTTCCCATGCAGAGGATGATATCTGATATAAAAATGTAGTTGTCAAGCACACACAGTCACACACACACACACATTGTGATCGAGCTCAATCCACTCCCCCTTAATTTCCCTGACCAGTCTTCACTCATGATGAGTACATTTCAAGAATCACAGAAAATGGAAACGATGGAATGGTTATAGATTATCCACACCACCAAACTCTATTATTATTTAGAGGATTCCCCCAAATCTATTTGCTGTAGATTAGGATATTGACATAAAATTATTTCAGGGTCTTTGTCTTACTTCGCCATTTTTTGATATATAGAAATTGAACTCAGATCGACAAAATATTTAACAACATGGACTATGGCCTATACTATTAAGTTTGAATAGCATTATCCTTTTCGAACTATAAATTTTTTTTTTTTGCTGCACTATATTTGTAGCTGCATATTCTAATATTTCAAGTATTGTTTTTGTTTCTATGAATCTGTGTCTTATCTTTGGTTTCTGATTTCACTTTCTGTACAAAATGGATATGCCCAACTCACATTTAAACTTTTTAATTTGGGTTAAGCTCCTGTTAGAGAAATCGGGCTGAAAATGGGATTTATTTGATTAGTTTAAGTTGGGTTACTCGTATTTGAAAAAATAATAACTCTAAAACTGAATAGAAATTTCTAAAACTTATAAAACTTATAAACAAATTCTTACATTTAAACAAAAACAAGTCCCAAAGAAAAAGTTGATTCTGATATGAAAATATAACATAATATATTTAAATTATAATTATAAGTACATAAAAAGTATAGTAAAAATTTGAGTTCGAGTCTAATTACTACCATCCCCACTTCAAGTCAAGTTGTGTACGCATATTCACATTTATACGCATAATACGTAAAAAGTATTGGGTTCGACTCAGATTACTATCATCTCTACTTCAACTCAAATTGTGTATGCATATTCACATTTACATTCATAATACACAATAAGTACTAATACTTAAATAGTATCATTCATTAAGCATTACTAATCAGATTGGGCTAGGGTTGACCCCCTAAGTTGCATCACTATGTCTCTTTGTATATGTATGTGTATGTATGTATATTAACATTTACAGGTAGAGTACGACCAAGTACCAGAACTGGTTGGTTAGGGACTTCCCAGGCCAATATTATTTAGAATAAAAAAGCAGCAGCAAAGAAATGGTACAAAAAAAAAGGTAGTAGGGAGACATCAATTCAGGCAATCAATAATCAAAGGTTAGACACCGTCCTAACATCATCAGGATGCATGTTTTAAATTGGCCTAATGATGTAACCATTGCTTGCTAGACCACCTAATTCCCACTCCAATCTCTTCGCATGAACATCATTAAATATATGTCACATCTTTTGGACGGCCAATTAAGTGCATCATCATATATATATATTATTTATGTAATTACACATATCACAGTCGACAAAGCAACATTAATATTATTGTTATTGTTAATTAAACATCGATTATATGAGAAATTAATAAGAGTGGATAAGATGGAGCTCTCAACCGTGACATTCAACTGTTGTATAGTCAAAAAGTGAGCCATTTTGTAATCCACTAAACAGTACAATTACAATGATGGTCACTCTTTTAATTTTCTGCAAATGTTATGAGATCATTTTAGTAGCTTTTGCAAAAATATTGTGTTTGGAAGAATGTGTGATTTGATCAGATGGACCTACTCTAATTCTAAAGTGCACCATCCTGCTTTTTCAGTGACATATATTATTTACTTTATTTATAAATCAAAATAAAAATTAAGTTTAAACATTCATAATCTTTTAATTTTTGAGGTGGAGTTGACTTCTACAAGTTGTTACATCCGTATTAAAATAAAATACGAAATCATTTTCTTAATTTCAACGTACTCGTGCTTGTACATGTAAGCTAGACCAAGCATTGGGTCATTTTCTTAAGAATTAAACAAAATATGGTTGATGTCAAACCATATATTATAGCTAATAGAAAATTTGAAAAAAATCATAAATGTTACATGCCAAAAAGAAATCATTCATTGTGTTTTCCTTGCCTTAAAAACGAAAGTCTATATATATATATATATATATATATATATATATATATATATATATATTTTTGATAATTCGGAGGTATCCGAAATTTCGTCTTAATTTCTGAGAACCCAAGAAGGATGCCTCCCCACTCCTGGCGGGTAAGTCATTGATTATGGCAGTAAAGGGCGTGGCCCAAGTTGTCGTAAGCTTCTAGTGGGAATCGAAACCCAAACCTTGGTGCTAGTAAGCATCCAAGTCTAAGTAATTTTACCACTACTTGACCATTAGACAAAAAATGATCTAGGTATAATTTGTATAAATACTGATTATTAGCTTGAAAAGCTTCACTAAAGTTATCTCAATTAGTTGGCTTTAATGTACGTAAACCAAACGCGTACTTGTCCTAATACTGGCAGGTAACATGCTGGTTTAGTTTTTGTACATGCTTTAGCCAAATTAAACTATAATAATTTTAAATTTGCATTATACAAACTCATAAATTTTGAATTAATCTGCGGTATCACCCATCCCTATTTAAAAGGGAAGTCGAAGGTTCGAATTTCGGTGGAAGTAGAGTGTGTGTAATTACTTTAAATAAAAATAAATAAAAAAATAAGAAAAACAAAGAAGGTTGTTTGGTTAGCTATTGCTAGCCTGCACAATTCTCTTTCCTTCTATTGAAATTTAACTTAAAAAAAAAAAAAATACACATTTTCCCACTTTAGTCTGACTCGAACCCTCGCCATCAACTAAGCCACAAAACCCTTAGGGCTAGATTGGTGTGGTGAAATGAATTGGAATGGAATGATAAGAGGATGGAATAAGAATGATGATTCTTATTCTACCGTTTGGTTGCAAATATGGAATGTGTAAAAATGGAATGCTCATTGTTATTCCTGTGTTAAAAAGGATTGCTCATTCTTATTCCTATGTTTGGTAAGAAAGTTGGAATGAAATGAATTTATATTGCTTCTTTAAATTACATTTTATTATTAGTAAAAAAATTTAACTAAAAAAATTAACATCGACAAAAAT